CTCTGTCTCTCTCTGTCTCTCTCTGTCTCCCTCTGTCTCTCTCTTTCTATCTCTTCCTCTCTTTTTCTTTCCCTCACTGTCTCTCTCTCTCTCTCTCTCTCTCTTGTTCTTTCTCTTTCTCTCTCTTTCTCTTTCTCTCTCCCCCTCTCTCTGTCTCTCTTTTTCTCTGCGCAATGATTAATCCTGGGGGCTCCAGTGGCTAAATGAGTAGTGAGTTTAGACTCAAGCAAGGTCAAGCAAGTGTCGGTGACACGGGGATCAGATGGGTGGTCACTGAGGTATGTCCTTGAGCAAGACACGACAACCCCAGCTCAAAATACAAGGCGCTGCACAGTGGTGACCGACAGTGGCATTGTTTGTAAACTGTTCTGTATTTGTGCATCGTGTGTATTTATGTATGTATGTATGTATTTATGTGTGTACGTATTTATAATTATGTATTAATGTATGTATGTTCGCCATTGTAAAATAAATTGCCCTTCTGGGACAAAGAAAGGTGTAATTTATTGAATTTATTATTATTTATTATTAACCCCTCTACCCTTATATTGAACTGTGTGATATTCATTTCAGTGCATTTTTTAAAATGTCAGTATCAAAATTATGTGTCAAGAATGGACAAGACGAAATCTTCAATTAAACTCTTCGACACGACAATGAAAATTCATAAGTTTCCTTCTCTCCTTAACTTTCTCACCCGAGACTGAGCTCTCTGATAAGATTATTTGGTAGTGGAAGGGTTAATTGACTAAATCATTCTGACTCTACTGTCGGCTTAACAGTGTGATGTGATAAGAGCAAATAAATATTGGTAAAAGTACATTCCGACCCCCGATCCCTCTTATTTTAAAATTAGTTAAAATCGTATTCCGGGCATAACCTCACTGTGACCTATATGTTGGATGTGTGGCCTGACAAAGAGTGGGGACCTTAGAAGAGATACCTATGTCAAGTAAGTTAAGATTGTAAGGCTACTTTTATCAATTTTCGCACGTAACAAGATGGTTCACTCCTCTCTTTGAGCCAATTAAAAAAGTGTCCTCAAAATTAGTGGTGCCCTCTTCGCAAATGCGTTCCCTTTGCGAACAGAGTTACCCTACTTGCGTGAAAAGAAAATCAAAGGGAAATTAACAAGTTTTTGAATAAATAAGGATTCAAATTTCGGAATAACGCTTTTTTAAAATGGTTACGCTGACA